CATGATTCAGCCAGCAGAACAGAGTTCCTGTTGTGGAGGACTTTTTTGTTGTTTCTCCCCCTCCTCTCTCTCCCCTTTCCCAGTGTGTGTGGAGGGAGGGAAACCCATTTTCAGTTTCTCCAACACACCTTGGAGGATGTTACACACACGTGGCAATGACCAGTGATTCCACAGTGCCGCCTGCCGACCAGCATAAAGAGCTGCAGGCTCTGACTTTCCAGTGATCCAATGGCACCATCTGGTGACTGGCACAGGACGCTACAAGCTCTGCATCTCTGGTGATCCAACAGTGTCCCCTGTTGACTGTGGGAGAGCCCAGCTGGTTCTGGGGTCTCTGTAAGCTGAGGAATCGAAGATGGAACATCTACACCTGGCAAGATGTCAGCCACAGACAGAAAGGACTGTGACACAGAATGTGTTTCCTGTCAAGAATGCTGAGTCATTGCATTCAGACATGTGTGGATGTATGTCCAATGGTGGGTTATTTATGTTACTAACAAACCAATGGTGTGTGTACATGTGTCACCAAAAACTGTATAAAGTATCTGCACAGCTGTAATAAAGAATCCTGGTCCCAGTATCAAAAAACCGTGTCGCTTCCACCTCTACTGCAACATATGGTGACCACAACACGATTGCGAAGGAAAAGAGAAGAGACAAGATGATTTTGAAGCAAACAAAGAATTGCTTGGAGTGCGCATCGGCGGGATTTCCCGGGAAGCTGCTGCCAGGAGGACCAGATGGCCACTGGCCCCCCTGATCCTTTTCACCACTTCTCGACTCGAGAGATCGTACACCGCTGAGCTCTCCCTTTTGCTGTTGCTGAGGCTTTTTTTGCTGCTAAGTTATCGAGCACGTAACCCCACAGGCAGCACGTCCAGCCCCTGTCCCGCTTCACTCGACTCCACTCCGCTGCCAGCTTTTCCCACAGTGCAGCCCCGCTCCAGGCCAGAGCGTTCGTCATCTCACTCTGCTTTGCAGCTGCAGCCCTACGGAAACTGCGTAGCTTCGTGCGCAAACTGCGTGGCTGAGTACGCAACCAGCGTGTTGCTGTACACAAGCTGCACAGCTCCCGCTCCTGACATCGCAGCTCTGCGCAGCACACCAGCCCACTCTGTGCCCAGTTCACACCCCTGGCTGTGTGTGCAACAGCTAAGAACACACCTTGAACATTCCCTGACTCAGCAGTGCCGTCCGTTCCAAGTGGCCCCGGCTCTGTTGCTCCCACAGCCACCTGGCAGGCAAACTGCTGAGTGAGCCCTGTTTGCCCCTCCCCCCACTCAACTTGGACTGTTGCGAAACATTCTGTATCCGGGCAACCGCTGCTTGTCAGCTCTTGGTTGCTGAAGGCAGCATTCCAGCTATCGTTCAGCTTCCCTTTTTCTTTGCTCTGCTTGTAACTCACGTAAGTAACTCCTGAAGCAATCTGGAGATATTTTCATCCCTGTGAGGACGGGGAGGCAGTTGCCGATTGCTGCCTGGGGGTGGATTCCAGGTGTAGCATTTGAGAGCAGTGGTAAAGGTGCAAAAGGGGGCTGGCCCCATAATTAGACACCTGGTTTAAGGCAAAGCTACCTAGAAAAATGGGTTCCACACTTAGCAAGCGTGGAATCAAGTTAGATGCCCTGCTCCTACAAAAGATGCTTAAATGGAGCAGAGACCAGGGATTCCAGGTGACTTCTGAAGTTGCTTTCAGTGTGTCTGTGTGGGATGAATCGGGCTAATGTTTGTTCGAAAGTTCCACACATGGTGACAAGGGAGCCATGGAGTTATTAACTTCCTGGCACCTGCTTTTTGAAACACTGAAAGACTTTAACAAGTCAAAACTACCAGAAATAATTCGTAAAAAAAAAAAAAAAAAAAAAAGGATGAATACCTTCCTGTTCAGCTGAATTTTGAGGAGTAGTATTCTTATCCTCCAACAGACCGCTCTCTACCTGCCTGTTGCACATGCACAAGTTACATAAGCAACTCATTCATGGACATTCAGCAATGAGCAGAAGAAGGTATGGACATTCAGCAATGAGACGAAGGAATACCATTCCTGTAGACTGATAAAAGAAGGACTGTTGGGGTTGATTCTTTGCCTATGTGTGTAGTTGTATTGTATTATTGATATTGCCATGTCTCTAATGCATGGGCCCTGCATCGGATGATGCTGGCATTTTCTATAATACAAAAGAGGGGGAATTGTAGGGGAACCCAGCTGGTTCTGGGGTCTCTGTAATCTGAGGAATCGAAGATGGAATGTCTACACCTGGCAAGATGTCAGCCACGGACAGAAAGGACTGTGACACAGAATGGATTTCCTGTCAAGAATGCTGAGTCATTGCATTTAGACATGCATGGCTGTATGTCCAATGGTGGGTTATTTATGTTATTAATAAACCAGTGGTGTGTGTACATGTGTCACCAAAAACTGTATAAAGTAGCTGCACAGCTGTAATAAAGAATCCTGATCCTGGTATCAAAAAGCCGTGTTACTTCCACCTCTACTGCGACAGTTGACTGTGGTTAGAATTGCACCAAAGGCCACAAACTGAACTGTTTACTTTTTTTCCTTTGCTTGTTTATTGGTTTGTTTTGAAGGGGATTATTTGTGGGTTTGGTTGTTTTACTTGTTTTCTTTTGTTGTTTCTGCCAATACACATAAATCTTTAAATAAAGGGCTGTTATTTTTTCCTTTTTCCACAATTTTTTTCCCCTCAATCGGAGCCTCTTAATTTTGGATTTACAATTGCTTAGAGGGAGGAGTTTGGGTCTTCCTCATAACTCATCCTCATCAAAACACCTGTGCCTCATTTAAACTGAGACACCTGCCTGAGAGATCCAGTTCCTGGGGGTGAAGTGGCAAGATGGATGTCATCAGATCACAACAGAAGTCATCAATAAGATCACAACAATGGCTCCACTGACCAGCAAGAAGGAAACACAAGCTTTTCTGGATTTCTGGAGAATGCATATCCCCGAGTACAGCCAGATCATAAGCCCTCTCTATCTGGTAACCCGCAAGAAGAATGATTTCCAGTGGGGTCCTGAACAACAGCAAGCATTTGAACAGATTAAACAGGAGATTGCCCATGCTGTAGCCCTTGGGCCAGTTAGGACAGGACCAGATGTGAAGAATGTGCTCTACTCTGCATCTGGGGATAAGGGCCTCTCCTGGAGCCTCTGGCAGAAGGTACCTGGAGAGACCCGAGGCCGCCCACTTGGATTCTGGAGCCAAAGCTACAGAGGGTCAGAAGCCAATTACACTCCAACAGAAAAAGCAGCTTATGAGGGAGTACAAGCTACCTCAGAGGTGATTGGCACAGAAGAACAGCTCCTCCTGGCACCTCGGCTGCCAGTGTTGAGTTGGAAGGCGCCCTCTACACATCCTACCACTGACACTACATGGAGTAAGTGGATCACTCTGATCACGCAACGCGCCCGCATTGGAAACCCAAATCGCCCTGGGATCCTAGAAATCATCACAAACTGGCCGGAAGGTGAGATTTTTGGTTTAGTAGATGAAAAAGAAGGAGAGCAGGTGGTACAGGCTGAGGAAGCCCCACCATATAATCAACTACCAGAAGAAACACGCTATGTCCTTTTTACTGATGGTTCCTGCCGCATTGTAGGGATGAAACGTAAATGGAAAGCAGCTGTATGGAGTCCCACACGACAAGTTGCAGAAGCTATGGAAGGAGAGGGTGAATCAAGCCAATTCGCAGAGCTCAAAGCTGTCCAGTTGGCACTGGACATTGCTGAACGAGAGAAGTGGCCAAAACTTTACCTCTACACGGACTCATGGATGGTGGCCAATGCCCTGTGGGGGTGGTTGGACAGATGGAAGAAGGCCAATTGGAAACGTAGGGGAAAACCCATCTGGGCCGCTGATATATGGCAAGACATCGCTACCCGGGTAGAGAAGCTGATTGTGAGGGTCCACCATGTAAATGCCCATGTGTCCAAAAACCGAACTGATGAGGAACATGGCAACAATGAACAGGCAGACTAATGACTGAATGAATTACGAATTCCTGGCTTAGTGGACAGAAATCACTTTATTCCCCATCATGCAGAGTTTTTATATCATTCACTTCCCACTGGGAGTGGTTGGGCAAATCAAGGTAGAACACAGTTGCATGCCACACATCAATGACTCTCACAGGCCGGCCTGTCACACACACACACACACACACACACACACACACACACACAAAACTTGGAGTTTCAAGTTACCCTTTTTACACCCCCTCATGGTGAAATTGCAAACTGGAGAACTCTGAGCTCTCCCTGGGCAGTAAATCATAGCTTAGAGAAAGCAACACAAGGTCATCTGAACATTCCTCAGGTCTTTCTCATGCTGGCTGCTACACAGACTGAGTTGCACAAGTCAAGGTGTCACAGGTGGATCTGGACTGACAGCACAAGGGAGAGTTGTTCTTAGCGTAATGGGCCCATGATGCCTCTGGCCATTGGGGCAGAGGTGGGCACGAGACCGAGGGGTGGATCTAACCATGGATGCTATCTCTCAGGTTATCCATGACTGTTAGACATGTGCTGCCATTAAACAGGCCAAGAGACTGAAACCCCTGTGGTATGGTGGACGATGGAATAAATACAGATATGGGGAGGATTGGCAGGTTGATTATATCACACCGCCACAGACCCGTCAAGGTAAGCACTATGTGCTCACCATGGTGGAAGCCACCACTGGATGGCTGGAGACGCATCCGGTGCCCCACGCCACTGCCAGAAATACCATCCTGGGCCTCGAAAAACAGGTCCTGTGGTGGCACGGCACCCCAGAGCGGATTGAGTCAGATAATGGGACACACTTCAAAAATAGTTTAGTTACCACCTGGGCGAAAGAGCATGGTATTGAGTGGGTCTATCACATACCATACCATGCAGCAGCTGCCGGGAAGGTTGAACGGTGCAATGGACTGTTGAAGACTACCCTGAAGGTGTTGGGTCCAGGGACTTTCAGGCACTGGGATCAGCACCTAGTGAAGGCTACATGGTTAGTCAACACTAGAGGCTCCGTCAATGGAGCCGGCCCTGCCCAATCAGAGTCCTTTCACACAGTAGATGGGGACAAGGTCCCAGTAATTCACTTAAGAGGTATGTTAGGTAAAACAGTTTGGATTTAATCCTGCCTCGAACAAAGGTAAACCTATTCGTGTCATTGTTTTTGCTCAAGGATCAGGTAGCATGTGGTGGGTAATGCTGGAAGATGGAGAAACCCAGTGTATACGTCAAGGGGACCTCATTTTTGGGCGAATTTCCCATAACACTGTGTCTGTATTTGCATGTAAATATTTGTAATATGTATATAGCTGGGGTAATGTATGTATGTTTATGGTTGGAGAGTTTGAATCTGATATAGCATGTTAGTATGGGAAAAAATTCAGGGGTGGATAATGTCATAGGTTTGAAAAGAGATATTAGAATTTTTTCCCTATTGTCCCGTGTTTCCTGTTCCCCCTCCCCCCCATCTGTTTCTTCTGAGATGGGGGGAGCCATGGAGGAGGTGGGGGACAGAGCAAAGCTGCATGTGCTGGGCAGTGCGGGGGGAAGGGGGGGAGGTTCCTTGGGAGAACAGTTGCCAGGCGGCACGGCTGGGGAGTCTTTTGTTTGGAGGGTTTTTTTTTTGTTTTTGTTGGCTGACTGGACAGAGCGGTCAGCCTGGTTTCAGCCGACTCCTTTTCTTTTCCTGAGAGGAATGACCGAGAGAGACCGACCAATCTCAGAGTGAGGTATTGTGCCTTTGGTACTGCCTGCGGGAAAAAAGACTCTTTCATTGCTGGCTGTGAAGCCATCGGCTACTGACTGCTGCGGGCACACATGGCTGCGAGCAGCTGTTGCACTGCTGGGACAGTCCTGCCTTCCCCCCTCCTTTCCCCCGATGCCAAAACAGCACAGAGAACTGCTCAAAGATGAATTTTTATCTTTAAGCAGCAAGGTATTTATTTTGAACAACGTTGGGGAACTAAATGGACAAACTACCTCTGAAGTATTCAGTGAAAGGTAATTTATACAGTTTTCGTGAGAGGTTACAACATTTTTACATACATATTAATTTGATTTCAACATCTAATCTTCATATTCATAATAGGCAGGGTTTAGGCAGAGCTTGAGGCGGAGTCTTCTAGAATGGTCTTTTTGGGGAAACTTTTAGTGGTCCTTCTGGGTCCTCAGCCTCAGTTTTGAGTCCCTTTAATCATCTTCCTCGCTTGAACTTTTCAACTTTCTTTTTTCAACGACCTAGTTTCTGGAGCTTGCAAAATCTCCTGACCCATGGCCTTCTTATCCCCCTCAAATGCCCACCTTATCTTTATTTATGACTGCTGGGCTGCTCAAAGAACATCCCCTCTATCTCTTACTTCAGTACAGTCAGCAGAACAGAACAAGCTGTTTTCAACATGACCAGAGCATCTTTGACAGAGCATGGTACCAAACTCCATCTTAGCTAATCCTTAAAAACCATATTCTGTTTCACCCCCCTGCCCCGAGTTGGTGCAGGTTTCTCCCCCACACCTAGGGAATTAGGACTTTATTTTGTTTCTTCTGAAAGTTTTTGATTGCACCATTTGTTGTTTATTCAGATTTTGTTAATATAAAGCTGTTATTTTCCTTTCCCCCGGCAGATGGAGCTCGTTAGCCCTTAAAGGCAACCCACCTACGTCCTGAGGACCTCGCTGCCACCGTCCAAGCTCGCTTGGCCCCGGCAGATGAACCTTAGGATTAAAGGGTGGGCTCAGTTCCGCGCACACTGTGTCTCACCTAAAAAATCCAATGCGCAGGCTGGAAGGTGGAAAGACCTTCCCTGGATCTTCACTCGCGAACACTGGCCATTATTTATTTATTATTTTCCTTTTCCACACTTCCACCTGAAGTTTCTCAATTTCTAATTTGTAATCTTTTTAAACTAAGACAATACTTGTGTGTGGTAACTTTTTTCCTATTTCTTCTCCATGTAGCAAATATAGAGCACCTGGTGTATGCCTTCACCTGAGGTTTAAATTGGACATCAAAGGCAATTGTCGTCCTGAATGTGGAAGTAACTGCACTGCACCTGGGAACCTTACCAGATTTGTTGCTGACAAGCTACCTCCTATCTCAACACAATGCACACTGTTCCAAGTTTGACAGCCTGTGCTGCTTCAACATGACTGCTGAGTCAGCTGCATTGAGAAAAACATTTGGAATCGACAGGACTTCATACATCAACTAAGGCAACCTATCAGTGTTGCCTTGATAGCTGAGTGGTTTAATTCCCTGACAGGAGGACTGGGACATTTACCTTAGAGCATTAAATGTTTATTCCTTTTTTCTATATTCTCCTTTAAGTGCCTTTGCAATTTACCCTGTCCTACACTTCTGGCTCCAGAAGCAGTGGTCTCTTGAGCAAGGCAGTGAAATGTGGAAAGGAAAGAGTTAAAAGCAGAAGAATGGCGAGGAGAATGGTAGATTCACTCAAGTGACCTTGCAGCTAGGTGCGGCGGATAAAAAAGATGCTCACTCCGTCGGTTGGCAGGCAATAGGCACTTTATTAACAGCAGGCTTAGTTTTATAGTATTTTCTTCTGTCCACGCGTATACATGCTATAATTCATTGGTCAGGTGTTCCTGTTCACATGCTGTAGTTCATCTTTTGATAGGTGGTTGGTGTCCTTTAGCGTGCTTGCAAATCTCAAAACAAAACCTGTTATTTTCTGCAGTTCTTCCTCCTTTTCTGCTCTCCCACCTTCCTGGTGTTTACATTCTTTTACAAGCTCACAGCTGTAACTGATCAAATTCAAGTCTTAAGCTGTCTACAGCCCAGCCGTTTCCCACAGCTAGGAATGCCAAGGCCTGGAGAATAACAGTATGGGGAAACCCCATATAGTATGCCTACTGCTGTTTATCCTCTGTCTGTTTTGAGAAGTAGAATTTCTGTGTAGAGATAACATAGGTGTTTGGAGAGACTTGGAGGCACTCTCGCAGACATGCTTGAGCTCCTTGTTTTGGGAGAGAGAAGGTCAAAGTTCAGAGATCCTAAAAAGCACAGGGGAGATCACAGCATGGTGTGCAGGCCCTTGACAAATTGGTGCAAAGAGCAGGCCCACCGCACACTAGCATGGACTAGGCCTAGCAGTGCCTGTGTTCCTGCTTATGTGTCTCTGCCTAGGTGTTGCTTTGGTATCCTCTGATTAGCAAGGTGTATTGGGTCTGGCTGAGCTGGAGTTCATTTCCCCATAGTAGCCCTCACAGTGCTGTGCTTTGCACTGGTTGCTAGAAGGGTGTTGATAACACACCAGTGTTTTGGCTACTGCTGAGCACAACATCCACACTGTAACATTCCTTCCCTAAGTGAGGGCAAGATCCTGGGACGGGACACAGCCAGGACAGCTGGCCCAAACTGACCAAAGGGATATTCTATACCATGTGTTGTTAGCTCAGATATAAAAGCTAAGGCAAGGAGCAGGAAGGCAGGCATTCATTGTCTCCAATGGCTGCCTGTTGAGGAACCATTACATGTGCTGAAGCCCTGCTTCTCAAGAGTGACCAACCATTGCTGCTCAGGGGAAATAGAGAATAAACCATGCTATCTTTTGCTTTGCTTCACTTTTGTGCCCACAAGCTTCTGCTTTGCCTTTGCTTTAAATAAACTGCCTTATCTGAACCCACGAGTTGTTTTTCCACCTTACTCTCTCCCCTGTCCAGTTGGGAAGGGGAGTGACAGAGCGGCTGGGTGGGCACCTGGCATCCAACCAAAGTCAACCCACCACACAAGGTAATGAAATAAATTTACTCTTTGCATTTCAGCTGTTGTTTTGTGGTTGTTTCAGCTTCCTGCCTGTGTCAACTCACACAGTCACTAAAGAAAAAACAAACTAACTGATGAAACTGAGAACTGGAGCTTCAAACTCACTTTCTGCTTCATTTCTTCTATCCATCCCTGTCTCTGGCTTCATTGTATTCTACAAGCTCATGCAAGATATCAACTGTCCTTTCATTCACTTCATATTGTGGAATAGGCTGATTCCCATATATTTTTTTAGCCATAAAGTAACTTGACAGAGAAAGGAAAAGTATACAATCATGTGAAATGACAGAAGATAGCTGATAGATGCAAGAAATGTAAAGTCCTCCAAGCTCTGCATTCCTGAAGAATAACTCCTACTGCATCAGTCAAGGCATGGGTGAAAAAAGGAGAGATGACTTCTTTTGTCTCTTCTTCAAACACCCTCTGTACTTTAGAAAACCATTTCCCTTTTAATCTCCCTCATTTCTCTGGATACCTGCTTATCTCCAGGTGATAAAATTTTATCTTTTTATTCACATGATCTGTTTGCTACAGACACGCTAATGATCCAAGAGATGTTAAATTGGGCAGCTGGTAAAAACTGCATTAAAACAGTGTGAAATAAAACTGCCCAAACCCTGATCATTTGGAACAGTCTCTACGGGCTAGCAGAAGAGAAAGTGTTACTACAATGTGCAGGCATGAGCCCTGCAAAGCACAACTTCTACCACTGAAAAGAAGGTCAGAAATGGTAGAGAGATTAACACACTTCTCTCAGATAGCACTGTGATTAGGATAGAAAGATTAGATTATAACTAGTATTAATTGAAGACATGGAACCTCTACACTGAAGAAACAAATTTTTGTCTAAGACTGTCTAAGAAACCTGATAAAAAAGGACGCAGCCTTATAACTTTAAAAGTTATAAGCACATCTGTGGTGTTCCACCCTTAAGGAGAAGAAAGCACTCGAGATTTGTAGATGCTCATGGTACAAATGACAGAAGTCAGAGTCTGTTACCACCCCATCAATGCCCAAGCATGTGGCTGCTTGTAGTGTGGTTGTTACATTTGCAGTCTTGGGCACTGCTGCTATTAGTGGGGCTAAATCGGCCTGAACTTCAGAAATTCCACCTTGTGCTGCAGCAAAAATCTAGCACTGTGATACATCAGCAATCCTTGAATCAGAGTGTAGGTGCCATGTGAAGTGAGCACACTGCAGTCTCTGGATTTCTTTTCGAGTTAGGGTTAATGTTCGAAGTGAAGGACCACACTCTGCCATCCAGCAGATGCCAGGTTCAATCATTCAGAACATTGAAAGCGAGTAGCTGACATCTGCTTCTCACCCAGGAGCCATAAATTAACCTTAGCAGTTTGGTAGGTAACACTGGCTCCATTTTCTCCAGGGATTTTAACTCTTTGCCATCTGGGTCATACACCCAGCTTTTCAACATCCTGCTGGGTTAATACTGAATGTTGTGCTTCTTTATCTATTAGAAATTTTATTAATTGTTGATGAGAACCAACTGGAATCTGAATGTCTGGGCCATTATTATGTATGCATTGATAGGATTCCACTTGATGGATTTCAATCTCACCTGGTTTGCTGCCATAATGCTCTTCCAAATCAGCCACTTGAATCGGATCAAATGAGGTCATCTTTCATGTGCAATTTACTGCTCCACCCTGAGGTCCAGTAGATTGAGGGGGAGTTGAAGGAGATAAAGAATCATCTTTCCCCAGTTCTCTGTCATCGGTATCACCCCATATGTTTCCATCCAAATAAGTCTGCTATATTTTTCCTGGAACTTGGATATCTCGGTAGCCATATATGGCACTGTTTTGGTAGCAGTTTGCTGACCCATACCATCATCCGTGGTTTCAGTTTTAATTAAGGGTTGTAATGTTACTTCCTCATCATCATATGACAATGTAAACATTACATCTCACTCTTTATCAGAATAATAGATCTGTTTACTGTCTTCCAACTCCTTCATTGGATACAAAGCGTGTTTCTGCAAATGGTCCAGATTCTACATTCTGCAATTCCTCACATAAGAATATCTCTCTCTAATACGCATCCTGAAGCTCCACCTGAAGCCTCCTAGCATGATCATGCTCAGCAGCAAGCAACACCTTCTCCTGAAGCCTGCTTTCCCTTCCTTATTTAACTGATCCTGCAATCCTTTTACCAAATCCTGCAGAGATCTAATAATTTCTCCCTCTGCACATTTGTTGACATACCTCTCCTTTTGGGCAGCAGTTAAAGCTGCTCCCAAAATTGCACATAAAACTGCTTTACCTTTCCCCTTTCGTACCTTTTGTTCACTTAACACTGCATTTATCTGTTTAACCACAACCTCAGGGCTATACCAATTTCCATTTGCCCATTCCATGCCCAGTGGAGTCAGGCAGGCATTATATTCTCTCAATTTCTCCAAAATGGGGGAGAGTCAAGCACTGACATTTCCTGGACAGTCATGGCTTGCATCTGTTCAGATCCCTCCCAGCTGTTAACAGCCAAAGGATCACTTCCCAGCACTCTCTGACCAAAACTCATGGGTAGAGTGTTGGTATCCTGCACGGACACCTTCAACCATGTCATCCTGTCCATTATGCCAATTAAAATATGGCATCCCATCCTTAAGAGGAAGGGAGCACCCAAGATTCGTAGATGCTCATGCTCAAAAGGAATGACAAAAGTCAGAGGGTCCACAAAGCTTAGAAAGTTTTAGTAGTAAATTACACACTTGACATGGAAATTGGTATAAGTTAGTCCCTGATCTAGTATAGCCACGTGTCAGCGGGTTTTGGATAAAGGGGTAGGGTGAAAGGGAAGAGAGAGAGAGAGATAAATTAAAGATGGGGAGAGAGATCACCAGCCCTGGCTCCAGTGTCAATTCACCCACCACAAAGAGCTTTGGTGGTCTTGATCCCCCCCTATTGGGTTGGCCTTTGTTTGAGTCTGTGCCCACTTCTCAACCTCATTCCTGCACCTGCATTATAGTGTGTTGTGCTTATCTCCAGGAACCAGAACAAGGACGTTTGTCCCAGAGAAGTGCTGCCCTACCTCCATATGGTCCCCTTCTCCAGCCTCATCTGGTTCTTTCTCACAATCCTTGGTTGGCTCCACAGCCATCTGGCTATCAGTGCTTGAGACATACACATTAGCCCTTGTCTTCTATAACATCCTTCTTTCTGCTTCTGCCATACCAGCATCTCAGCTACATACACTGCACACAGCAAACATCTCCCAGAACTATTGTGGGGAGAAAACCATCACACCCTTAGAAGCAAACTGCACTAATTACATGTAGAGTAAAGAGTAATACTGCAAGAAAGCCAACTTTGCAAACAAAGGATGAATTACGTCTTTCTGCCAGTCTCTCCAGTGAGAAAGACTTGAAACACAAAATCTTCAAGCATGCAAGATCTTCATAACCTTCACTATTAAACCAGCTGTGAGCTTATACTTAATGGTCAGTGAGCTCAGGCTGTTACCTAGTAGGCAGTGGAGAATGAATTGGGTGAACACAGTTGACTGCTGCAAAACTCACCCAGTGACCACCTGCCCCCAAAGCTCAAGGGGGAAAGGAAACAACACAGGTTCATTCCTCCTCCTGCACTGCACACACCAGAGTGCCAAGTATAGCAACACTGCTAGGGACTGGCAAAACCTTCACCACAACCAATCGGGTGCTCGTGAGGAAGGGCTGGAAGAAACCCCCTGGGAGAGCAGGATGAGGGCTCCAATAATGCACCAGGACCAGCTCCACACCAGTACTTTGCCCACCCCAGGGATGGGGCTCATGGCACCCGCCCCACCTGGTGCCCCTCCCACTAGGCCTTGGGCTGGAGAGGAGGAGCCCCCAGATGGGTGCGAGGCAGCTAGACTCGGCCTCAGGCGGCCCTTGGATAGGACCACCTCCAGAAACCCCACACTGTGACACCTACACCTACACCCTGCCCGGCCCCACTGTTACCTGCTGGAGCTTTTCCTCCATAGTGGACCCACTGCCTTGAGCTCCCCTCCTCCATCATGGCTGCCCCCACACACAACCGCCACACCACGGGACCTGATGGGACTTGAGGGGAGGGGAGGGATGGGAAGGGGAGGGGAAGGATGGGCCCACCCAGCCCCACAGGACCCGGGTCCTGCACTTGGGTCACAACAAACCCAATGCAGTGCACCAGGCTTCACGAAGTGGCTGGAAAGCAGCCCAGAGGAAAGGGACCTGGGGGTGCTCTTTGACAGCTGGCTGAACATGAGCCAACAGTGTGCCCAGGTGGCCAAGATGGGCAATGGCATCCTGGCTTGTATCAGAAATAGCATGGCCAGCAGGACTAGGGCAGTGATTGTCCCTCTGTACTGGTGAGGCAAGTCCTGTGTTCAGTTTTGGGCCCCTTCCAAGAAAGACATTGAGGTTCTAGAGTGTGTCCAGAGAAGGGTAATGGAGCTGGTGAAGGGTCTGGAGCACAAGTCCTATGAGGAGTGGCCAAGGGAACTGGGGGTGTTTAGCCTGAAGAAAAGGAGGCTCAGAGGAGACCTTATCCCTCTCTACAACTGACATGAAAGGAGGTTGTAGACAGGTGGGGGTCAGTCTCTTCTCCCAACTAAAAAGCTATAGGACAAGAGGAAATGACCTCAAGTTATGCCAGGGGACGTTTAGATTGGATATTAGGGAAAATGTCTTCACGAAAAGGGTTGTCAAGCACTGGAACAGGCTGCCCAGGGCAGTGGTGGAGTCATCATCTCTGGAGGGATTTAAAAGATGTGTAGCTGTGGCCCGGAGCCCCTGGTGGTCTAGTGGTAAAGGCGCCGCGCTATCACCGCGGAGACCCGGGTTCGATTCCCGGTCAGGGCCACTCCCGGGCAGGTGGGGCTCGTTAGCCCTTAAAGGCAACCCACCTACGTCCTAAGGACCTCGCTGCCACCGTCCAAGCTCGCTTGGCCCCGGCAGATGAACCTTAGGATTAAAGGGTGGGCTCAGTTCCGCGCACACTGTGTCTCACCTAAAAA